GCCCTCTCCTGCCCCAGGGCTGGGCTGGGGGCAGCTCAGGCCAATTGCACCAGGTGTGCTCTGGCTCACTCCGGTGTCACCTGGCTGGGAATTCCTGTCCCCTGCTGTCACCTGGCTGGGAATTCCTGTCCCCCACACCCCCCCCTGCCCCGGGAAGCAGGGCACAGCAGGGCACATCCCCCCTTCCCACTCTGCTTTCCCCCTGCACTGGGCTCAGAGCTGGCAGAGGACACTGGGGCATGGTCCACACGCTCTTGGTCCCACGTTTTGCCCTTGTCACATGTGTCCCCTCCCCGGCAGTGCCACCGTCCCCTCGCTGAAGCATCGCCTGCAGAGGAACATGGCCTCCATGGCCTGGAAGCCTCTCTGTGCCTCCATCCTGGCCGTGGCCTGCCAGAGCTGTGTCCTGGTGTGGCACCTGGATCCCACCTCCCTCTCCACCAGGTGACAACCCCCGCACACCCCCCGCCCTGCCATCGGGACCCCCTTTGGGGTTGGCTTTGGGATAAAGCCAGGCAGGTGCCCGTCCTGCCAGCCTGTCCCAACCCTTCCTAGGGGGTTTCTTTCTCTCTTCCAGACCGTCATCAGGCTGTGCCCAGGTTCTGTCCTACCCAGGGCACAGCCCTGTCACCAGCCTGGCCTGGGCACCCAGTGGGGAGCGGCTGCTCTCGGCGTCACCAGTCGACACGGCCATGCTGGTGAGGAGCCCTGAGCTGGCTGTGCCTCCCCGGGGGGATGTGGGGACCACGGGCACCCCAGAGGGTCACCCAGGGACAGCTGGGCTGGGCACAGGTGCTGTTCCCACAGAGGGTGGGTCAGGCAGCTCTGAATTTGAACTGGACCTGAAAGCATTGCTCCGTGTCCCCTAATCCAAACACACCCCCCAACACTCAGTCAGTGTTCTGGTGTCACCATTTGCCTTCCTTGTCCCCTCCTCCAGGTGTGGGATGTCTCCACTGAGAACTGTGTCCAGCTGCAGTGGTTTGGGGGTGGTGGTGTCACCTACTTGGCCTGGTCACCCGATGGCAGCAAGGTGCTGGCAGCCACCCCCTCGGCTGTGTTCCGGTGAGTGCCCCGCCTGCCCAGCTCCCCTGGCAGCCCTCGCCCTCCTTTCTGCCCCAAAACTGAGCAGATCTGGATCCTGAGTGTCCTCACTGCTCCCACTCCTGCTGGGGGAGCAAAGGGGCCCACGGGGGTGGGTGGCTGGGTCTGACCCTGTGGGCTCCTGGAGCAGCGGGATTGGGGCAGATCCAAGGAATTCACCCTGTTCTGTCTCCTGCAGGGTGTGGGAGGCTCAGATGTGGACGTGTGAGCGGTGGCCCACTATCAGAGGACGCTGCCAGGTAGGATGGATTCCTCAGGCAAGGAATCATTTAGGCTGGAAAAGCCCTCTGAGACCGTTGAGTCTCAGGTCCCCAAGTGCCACAGGGTTGAGGACTCCCACCCTGCCCTGGACAGCTGTGCCAGGGCTGGACAGCCCTGGAAATTGTCCCAATATCCAACCTGAACCTCCACTGGTGCATCTGTTTCCTCTTGTCCCATCCCTTGTTCCCTGGGAGCAGAGCCCAACCCCTCCCTGGCTCCCCGGAGTTGTGAAGGTTCTCCCTGAGCCCCCTTTTCTCCAGGCTGAGCCCCCCCAGCTGCTCCTCACAAGTTCTCCAGCCCCTTCCCCAGCTCCATTCCCACCTCTGGTCACACTCCAGCCCCTCAGTGTCTGTCTCATAGCCCCAAACTGACCCCAGGATTTGGGGTGCAGACATCACCTCCAGGGCCCTCGGGGACGCGGGTGGGTTTTACCAAAAATCCCCCATTCCCAGCTGGCTCCAAAAGATCCCTGGCCAGGGGAGAGGCCATCCACAAAGCCCTGAGCTGTCCCTGGACCCACTGGAGTCTCCCTGCAAACCCTTCCTGTGCCACAGACGGGGTGCTGGAGCCCGGACGGCAGCCGACTGCTCTTCACGGTGCTGGGGGAGTCCGTCATCTACTCCTTGTCCTTCTCCGAGTACCGGGGTGAGTCTACCCGAGCTGGAGCTTCCCAAGGGCTGGGGTGGGGCCCAGGTGATCCCTCACTTCTGGCTGAGGGACCTGGGACATGCAGGGGGGTGTCTTGGGGGTCTCCCAGAGCACGGAATTCCTGGGGTTGGGTTCATCCCCCCTCATGTTGCCTCAGTCGTGTGGACACAAAGGGTTTTTGCAGGGGGGGGGTCCAGGGCCAGCTCAGGGGTTTGTCAGCAGAGGGGCCAGTCCTGGGGGTTGCTGTCCCCTGTCCTCCATCCCAGACATGGGATATCAGCAGGTTGCTCTGATAAATTATGGGAAATGGATAAATTATGGGAAATCTGGGCAATTCAGTGGGATTTATGGAGTGTTCTCTTCAGGGGAGATGCAGGGGCAGGTGGGGGGCTCCAAAACAGCCTCGATCGTGGCAGACCTGTCCGAGACCACCTTCGAGACGCTCTTCGGGGACGAGAGGTGGGTCTGATGTGGCACCTGGGGGGGCAGAGGTGGGCAGCAGCCCCTTGGCAGCAGCCCCCCGATGCTGGGGACACGTGGGGGGCTGAGGGGGTCTGTGCCCCCCGACCCTGGAGGCTTCCCTGCTGCTCGTGCCGGTTCCAGGATTGGAGGAGAGGTGCATTCCATGGTGTGGGACCCCACTGGAGAGAGACTCGCAGTGATCATCAGAGGTGAGTCCCGCCTGAAGATCCCACTTCCAGCAAGGAAAAGGGGCACCGAGGGGCCTGTCCACGTGTCCTTGGAGCAAGGAAAGCCTCCCTGCCCCTCTCCCTCCTGCAGGACACCCCGACTCTCCGGGCAGCCAGACGGCCATCGCCGTGTTCCGCACCCGCAACAGCCCCGTCTTCGAGCTCCTGCCCTGGTGAGTTGTGGTGGGCACTGGGTGGGTTCCTTGCAGCAGGTTTTGGGTGGGTTTGGGTTCATTGAGTACCATTAACCCCCCCTGGGGGGTGTGGTGGGGAAGAGCAGCCCCCCTCACCGTGGGGAGACCCCATCCTGTGCCACTTCAGGGCCTGTCACCGTTTTACCTCCGAATCCCGTCGTGTTTTGGCCGTGTTGGCCTTTATCCACCTCGAGCCCCTTGGCTTCGGGTTGTCCCTTGCCCAGTGCATCCGATCAGGTCCCGGGTGTCTCCACTTGGCCCTGGCAGTGTGGTGTTTCTGTGGCTGTGCCATAAACGTGGCTCCTCCTGCCCTCCACAGCGGGTTCGTGCGGGGCGAGCGTGGTGCCCGGCCCCAGATCATCTCCTTCCACCCCTGCTTCCCACGAGGAGCCCTCCTGACCGTGGTGAGTCGCTCCCCCCTTGGTGCTGGCTGGTCTGACACGGGGTGGGGGGAAGGTGTCCGGGATCTTGGACCCTCATTCTCTTCCGTGTCCTCTTCCCTTCCAGTGCTGGTCCTCGGGGAAGATCAGCCACATCCCCTTCTTCTTCGTCAGCGCCCACGTGCCCCTGGCCAGCCCTCGCCGCAGCCCCGTCCCCGTCGTGGCCAGTGTGAGGGAGCAGCCCCTCTTCTCGGAGCTGTGACCACAGCCCAGGGCCTTGGTGGCTCCTCTTCCTCCCTGGGCAGCCTCATCTTCCTCCTGGGACCTCCGGCTGCCTTCAACCCCTGGAGGGGCACAGGGGGCCTCCCAGAGTCTGCATCAAATAAAGGCCAATCTTTCCTCCCTCTCCTCCTCCTCTTTCCTCACCCCGAGGGGGCTGGAAGTTTTCCGTGGGGTGAGTTCTGGAGGTTCTGTGGGTCTGGGGGTGCTCCAGAGCTGCTTTTTGGGGTCAGAGAGAGCTCAGGGTCAACTTGCAGAACTTCCCCGTGCTGCAGCCTGTTGGGGTGAGCCAGTGGGGCCAGGGCTGCTGTTTTGGGGTTAAAGAGCTGCATTTTGGGGAAAGGTGAGGGCAGGGGGGCTCAGGGGTCTTTGGCTGCACACACAGCACCCCTGGCCTTGCCTTGTGGGTGGGCACAGCTCTCCAAAGTGAACTGAAACCCCTGTGGGTCCATAAAACCCCAAATTTGAGCCCAGTTGGGTTTTGAGCAAGGCTGGAGGGGCCCTGAGGTGCTCGTGCCAGCCCACGTGAGCCCCCCCAGCACCAAAGGGTGGGGGGGGAGCAGATGGACCCCCCCTGCCCAGAGAAGGTATTAATGGGAGGGAGGCAGTGTGGTTAAATCCCGGGATTACATATGGTTAATCCTTGGGATTACACTGCAATAACAGGGATAATGGGGAGAGTGCAGGATCCCAGCTCACCCCCACACCCCAAACAACCCCCCCAGGACCCCCAAAAAGCTCCTCAAATCCCGAGGTGGGACAGGGAGCCCCCACCCCCCCCGAGCATCCAGCCCCTCCGTGGGGCTGCACAGGCACGAGGAGGATCCAGGGGGAAAAACTGGGGGATGAACCCACCGCTGCTGCTGGGGTGGCACCGGGGGGGCTTCACCCCTCGGCACTGCCCGGTTTGCTCCCGGTGCTGCCTCCCAGGAAGGTGCTGAGCGGCTCCTGCTCCTCCTCCTCCTCCTCCCGGGGCAGTGCCCGCAGGTATTCCAGGGGCAGTGCCCGCAGGTATTCCAGGTGCAGCCGCGTCTCCGCCCGGCTCCTCCGCACGAACCGGCCCACGTAGAGCAGGAGGGCCCCCAGCCACCCCCCCACGGCCACCAGCACCACCGCGTCGGGGGCCCGCGCCCCCCCGGCCCCACCCAGCGTCTCGTTGTGGGGGGGCAGCGCCCGGGGGGGCCCCCCTGGGCACCGGCAGTGCCCGGGGAGCCCCAGCGCCAGCAGGAGCAGCCAGGCTGCCTGCATTGCCCCGGGAAGGAGGACGGGTGGCACGGGAGGACGGGTGGCACGGGAGGGGGGGCTCTGAGCCCCCTCCCAGTGCTGCTGATGCGCGGGATCAGGGCGGGCAGGACGAGGAGAGGCACTGGTTCCTGTGGCTGTACCCACCTCACAGCAACCCCCAGCCCTGCCCACCCCCCTGGGACCCCCAATAGTGCATCCACTGGGCACACACTGGTCTTTACTGGTGTTGGAAACCCCTCGGAACGGGGGGGGGGGGGGTTATACAGGAACGGGAGCAAACTCCAGAGAAACGGAGCCAGCAAGTCTCTGACTGGGCTGGTGCCCTTCCAGCACCAGGGGTGGTGGGCACGCTGCCACCCCGAGGGGGGGGCTGCCCCCCACCCTGGCAGGTCCCTCGGAGCATCTCGCTGTGATCCCACTACAGGAACAGTCCCAGCTGCCCCTGGAACCCCCCGCACTGGGCTGGGGGGTCCCTTTTGGGGTGACCACGGTGGGAGGGGGGGTTCACCCGCTCTGCGTGCCCCCCCCGTGCCGCAGTGCCCGCCGTGCCATCTCCAGGGCCCCCTCCCGGCTCCGGTTGCCACCGATGAAGCCGCTGGCGTGGACGAAGACGCAGCCGGGGACACCACAGAGCTGGGACAGGGCCTCGTCCCGCAGCCCCCGCCACGCCTCGGGCAGGGGGAGCCTGGGGGGGACACGGGGGACAGCGGGTGACAACCTGGGGGGGCACAGGGGGCAGAGTGGGGGGGGTGCAGGTGGGGTGGAATGGGAGTACAGGGGGTAGAGTGGGGGTACAGAGCTCTGGGGGGATTGCAGGGGGGTGGAATGAGGGTACAGAGGGCAGAGTGGGGGTACAGAGAGGGGCAGAATGGGGGTGCAGAGCCATGGGGGGGATACAGAGGGGAAGAGTGGGGGTACAGAGAGGGGCAGTGAGGGTACAGGGGGCAGAGTAGGGGTGCAGAGCTGAGGTGAAGTGTACAGGGGGAGCAGAGTGAGGGTACTGGGGGTAGAGGGGGGGTACAGGGGGGCAGAATGGGGGTGCAGAGCTGTGGGGGGGGGCACAGGGGGGCAGAGTGGGGGTACACAGTGCAAGAGGAGGGGTCTCACCGGCTCTGGAAGGTGTGGGGTCCCGTGGGGACGCTCTGAACCCGCCACTGCCCGCCCCGGTCCGGGAACAGCACGAGCTGGAGTGGCCTGGGCAGGGCCAGCTCCTTCTCCAGCTGGAAAAGGTGCTCCTTCCAGGGGCAGCCCCCCTGGGGCAGCTCCAGCACCTGCCCACTCGAGTCCACCTGGGAGGGGGGACACCACGGGCACTCTGGGGGACCGTCCCCAGAGCCCCCAAATGGCCCCGGGGCTCAGCTTCACCCCCTGGGGCTCAGAGACCCCCACACGTGTAGGGGGGTGTGGATGGGGTGGGGAGAAGGGTGGGCAGAGTGGGGGTGCAGAGCCCTGTGGGGGGTACAGGGATGCAGAGCAGGGGTGCAGAGCCCTGTGGGGGTACAGAGCCCTGTGTGGGGCACAGTGGGGGCTGCAGTGCCATGCAGGGACGTTCATACTGAGGCAATTGGGCCTCCCCACACCCCAAAGCTGCCCCCCAACTTTCAGACCCCCCCCAGACCAGTGGGTGGTACCTCGAAGCGGCGCCGAACGGCCTCTTCCACCAGTGCCCGTGCCGGCAGCCAGGCCCGGTGGTAGAAGTCGAGTCGGTCCAGGAACTCACTCCCCACCAGCTCCATTGCCCGCTTGAACCCTGCCTGGGGGCACAGCGGGGGGTCAGGGGGGGTTCCCTGAGCTGGGTGTCCCCATCCCAGGTGTCCCCATCCCAGGTGTCCCCACTCTGGGTGTCCCCAAGCCAGGTGTCCCCATCCTGGGTGTCCCTGAACCAGGTGTCCCTGAGGGGCCATGGTGCCCGTGCCCACCTCGGTGTCCTGGTCGGGGTCGTTCCAGCGGGGGTTCAGGTGCCCCACGCGGGCGCTCAGGGTGGTGGTGAGGGCGTAGCGGGGCTCCCCCTCCGCCTGCGCGATCCCGTTGTCGATGGCGTCGATCTCCTCCACAAAGTTCTCGTAGAGCTGGGGGGGACAGTGAGGGGACAGTGAGGGGACAATGGGGACAGCAGAGGAAGAGTGGAGGGACAGGAGGAGACAGTGAGGGGACAATGGGTCTGTGAGGGGACAGAGGGGAAAGAAGGGGACAGCAAAGGAGGGAACAGTGAGGGGACAGCAGGAGGAAAATGGGGGGGAAAGCAGGAGAGGGGACAATGGGGATAGCACTGGGGGGGCACAGCAGGGCCCAACCACACACCAGCAGCTGCCACGAACTGTTGCCTCTTCCTTGGAATCTCTTGTGGAGCGACCTCCCACCAAAAGGAGCAGCCTTGGGCAGAGTTGTACCCGTACCTTATCGTAGAGCGCCGTGACCACGGGCCCGTCCTCCGGCTGCCCCAGGAGCGCCGCCAGGATCTGGGAGCCGAAGTGACAATAGACCAGCCCGGCGCTGCTCAGCTTCGTGCTCCAGGGCTTGTCGGGCCGGAGGCTCCTCATGGACTCTGTGAAGGACCTGCAGGGCACCAGGGTCAGCCCCAGGGACCCCCGGGGACGCCGCTGTGGGAGCGGGAGGGCCGGGGGTGGGTCTCACCTCTGGTGGTGGTCGTAGCGGTGCCGCTCGGGGTCGTACTCGCCCCCCACGTCCACCACCACGTCACACTGGGCCAGGCGCTGGGGGTCCCGCGTCCGCACCACCTCCGCGTCCTGCCGGGGGGCACGCGGGGCATGAGGGTCCCCCGGAGCACCGGAGACCCCCGAGAGCTGCCCCCGGGGACCGGGGACGCCGAGGAGGGGCTGAGAGCTTCAGGGTGACCCCCAGGTGACAAGGGACCCCGAGGAGGGGCTTCAGGGTGACCCCCAGGCGGGACCCCGAGCACCCAGCGGGTGGGTCCCAAGGACCCCCACGCGGGTCCGGGAGACCCGACGGTGGCCGCAGGTGGGACTGGGAGCCCCGAGCGAGGTCACAGGGGACACCCGAGGAGGGAGCTGGGCACCGGCAGCGCCGGTGCCGCTGCATGGAGCCCGGGACCGTACCCGGTAGCGGGGCAGGAGCCGCAGCAGGAAACACGCGAGCGCCTCGTCGCAGTGGAAGGTGCCGTCGTGGGTGCCGATGAGCGGGGCGGGCTCGGGATGCGGCCGCTTCTGCCCGGCCGCGGTGGCGACGGAGCCCCCGGGCCCGATTCCGGCCATGGAGGAGCCTCCGGAGCCCCCGATCCCGGCTCCGGTCCCGACCCCGGTCCCCGCCATGAGTCGGACGGCGCGGGAGAGCCCGCGCATGGCCACGCCCCCGGACACGCCCCCTCCACACAGCAGACTCCGCCCCATCCCGCCCCCGCGCCCATGCCTTTCCCGCGCATGCGTGGCCACGCCTCCCCGGTTTCCAGCCCCATTTAACCCCCCCGTCTCGCGCATGCGCAGCTGTCATGGCTACCCCGAGAGGGGGCGAGGCCAATCCACCGCTCCATGGAGAGAGCGCCCCCTGGCGGCCGCATGCGGGGATACAACGGGGGGACTCGGACGGGGACAGACGGACACGGGGACACACGGATAGGGACATGGGGACAGGGACACAGGGACACACGGATAGGGACATGGGGACAGGGACACGGGGACACACGGATAGGGACATGGGGACAGGGACACGGGGACACGGGGACACACGGACACGGGGACACACGGATAGGGACATGG